GATACTTGAGAAGAGCAATAGTAGCTGGAGTGGATTAGCAGCTTGGACATAGAGCAGCACCAGCACGCTGATCAGGCAGTTTTCGCGAGGAAGGCGGTCGAGATGGCCTCCAGAGCCAACAAACTCGCCTGCTGCTCGGCCTTGATGACCTGCTCGAGGCCGGCGACCTTGGACTCTAGCTCCTGGACGCGTCGGGTGAGCGCCACGCGGTCCGTCTCCATGTATTCCTGAGCAGTAGTTTGTAGAGGCTTGGTAGACGCGATGGATGCCCACCTGCCAATGGCGAAACTGGACGTTCTGGGCTCGCTCCATCTCGGCCTTCCATGCCTCCAGCGCCGCATCGGGCGGCGGCGACCGCGGTAGCAAGCCTACAATCGCGCTACATCGCATTTCGCCACGAGGAGCAAGCGTACAGAGCGCAGAGGCGTCGAGGTCAGGCAGTGGTCGGCGCGGTGTTCCTAATGCAGCGTTGCAGCATCGGTGGAAGAAGACTCGTACGCAGCGCGGGCAGCTCTGCGTTGATGGCGGCGATCCGATCCGTGAGCTGGTCGAGTCGGGCCTATTGTGATCCTGAGAAGACTCCACTACTGCATGGAGAGCGTACGTCGACCCGGGGCACATGGCGTTCGAGGGCTTCGACCTTGACGCGCACATCGTGCAGGCCAGCGTCCGTCTGCGTCGCGTCGTTAGAAGATGTCAAACATGCAGTCGTACGACGCAGCGCTGCTCGTGGCGCTCCATAAAGTCCGTCATGTTGGTCTCGAGAACGCTTGTCATGCTGGCCACGGTTTGCCGCACGATCCCCTCGACCTGTGCAACGCATCAATTATCTCATAAAAGAAGGCAGACGCACGTCGGGGGCACTTGCAGTGCTCGCGCGGCTCATGGGCGAGCTCAAAGCCACGTCGTCGTCGTCTTTCTCGTCCGAGGCCGTCGTCGTTGTGCTGCTAACGTTACTCGTCTTTGGCGGAATGGACACTTTAGGAACGATCGCCGGGGAGATGATGCACTCTATGTCGGGCCGAACGCTTCCGATGCACTCCTATCGTGCATGCATAAAATAATACTGTGGCCGTGCGTGGCCCGCCTACGAGGAGTTCGGAGAGGACGACGCGTGTCTTGGCGTCCATGATCGAGTTGTCTTCGCCCAGGCGCAGCTCCTTCAGCGTCGTGTGTGGGTTGTGCTCGATGGCCTGTTTGAGCGCTTGCAGGCCGTCCACTGTCAAGCAGCAGTTCTAAAACATACGTGCGTTGATTCGCCATGAAATTGCAGAAAACACGCTTTTACCTCAATGTTGAGGCCCGTGAGCGACTCGCCCACGCGAGTCATCGACGACGAGATGACGTGGGCCATGGTCTCGAACCCCGCGGCCGTGATCGGGTTGTAGCTACAGCACGTTGAGTGCAACTCAAAGCCACTTGAAGGTCGTCGTACGAAATGTCGAGCGAGCAGAGGTGCGACGGCCGGCGCACCGAGAGCTCGTGGACCGACCTACGGACAGGGTGGGATGTGTGACGAGGCAAGTGCAAAGATTACGTGATTTTGTTGTGGCTCACGTTGAGGTGGCGGGCACCGATACCAAGGACGGACGCAAAGCCGGCGTTTGAGATACCGTTGTCGCGTAGGTCCAAGAGCTCCAGCGGGCCGAGAGGCTTTCTACGCTCTGGTAACGAGAGGTGCAGGCATCACGTGCGCACCGGCGGTGGCTCTTCTTGTGCGGGTCAAATGCGTCGGCGATGGCACGGACGCCACCGTCGCCAAGGTTGTTGTGGCTGAGGACGAGGCTCACGAGGTGCCCACAGGACGCGAGGCTCTGTCCCAGAATGAGCCCCGCTACGTCGTCATCGTCATAAATCCAAGCCGTGTGTCTAGTACCCTGTCGGGGGAGCTTGCACGACGTGAGATGGAGCACCTCGACGCGGTCGCAGAGCCCCGTGAGCGTCATGAGCGACGTCATGCTCAAGTCGCGGCATCCGTCAAGGCGCAGCTCACGAAGAGTCGCAATGTCTCGGAAGCAGCGAGCAAAGACGGGGACGACGCCCTCGGCGAAGACGCACTTGAGAAAGGCCACCGAGACGAGCGAGAGCATCGGCATGGCTACGCAGCCTGCTACGGCGATGCATCATCTCCAACACGTACCAAGGAGCGTCGTTGCTAGCTTCTCGGTCGCGTATTGGTCGAGCTCACAGTCGCGCAGCTCGAGCGCGTGAAAGGTGGGGTACTGGACGCTCGCAAAGGCCTTGGTGACCCCAGCAATCGTCGCATGACTCTAGACGGCGCTCGTGAGAACACGCTCCTCGTCGCGACGCACCAGGTGGCGGATCCAGCACGTGGCCCCGTCGGCGGTGATGCCAACGCTTTCTTCGGGCGACATGCGAGCGCTGTACTGTGAGTGCAGCGTCGAAGCACTGACAAATCTTCGATAAACGAACTTTTACGTGGCGTTTCGCGCTGCCACGTCATGCAATCACCCACGCAAAGTGAAAACGACGATGCGACCTCGTCGACTGACATGCGATTAGTTGATGAGCTACTAATTACAACCACTCGGACGTCGACTCGCGGACCGCGAGCGCCGACGGGCGGTTCTCCTCC